GATTATTGCTCAATACCCTGTATTCGGTACTTTGAGACAGCTAGCTGAATCTGCAAATAAACTATAATTCCTATTTCCTATTCATTTGAGGCCATGTTGACTACGGTTAAAATCATAGACCTTCTACTTGTTTGCTCCTTATCCTCAGGTGGTCCGTGCGATCGCGTAGTCCGCAGAATGTTGATAAAAAGATGGGACCACTTCTGTCCTTGCTCTCACACCAGAACGCCCCTCCAGGCACGAGCGACACATCCTTCAGGAGAGGTTCTAGGAATCAATTGAGGTGCAATTGATTGCCAAAATGGACTCTCTGGCTTCGCTCGTTCCGCCTGCTTTCGCTCCCCTCATCGACGCCCTGGCGAGCAATGCACAGCTGCTTGGCGTCGCAGTCATCTCTGTCGCTGCTATCTACCTGGGCTACGCTTTTATTTTGAGCAGCAAGGAAGCCGCTGTGTCTTTCAATGTTCCGCTACCGGCTGAGGTTCGCGCCAACTGGACCGGCAAGAAATGGGAGGATGTGCAGGGTGAGCAGAAGAAGGTGCTTGAAGGTCAGGTTCGAGGGGTAGGTTACTCCCTGCGCATTGACGATTTGATCGGTGAGACAGAAGGCCGATGCTAATGCGTTGTGACTTGCGCAGCAATGGAGCGACAAGTTGATTATGAGTTACTGTCCTGCGGACGGACGGGTACTGGGAACCGGAATCAAGCCGAACACCGCAGACGATGTCAATCGAGCGATACAAGCTGCCAAAACCGCGCAGGTCGAATGGGCCAGGACTAGCTTTGCCGATAGGAGGAAGGTTCTTCGGACATTGCTCAAGTGCGTTCGCCAGCCCTGAATACAAGGCTCGAGCGAGGATCTGGAAGCTAACAAACGATATGAAATATGCAGATACGTTCTTGACCACCAAGATGAGATCGTCGCTGCGTGTTGCCTGGATTCGGGGAAAACAAAAGTCGACGCCTCGTTCGGGGAGATCCTCGTCACCGCAGAGAAGCTGAAATGGACCATCGACCACGGCGAAAAGGCCCTGGCGGCTGAGCCCCGACCCACAAACTTCCTGATGATGTACAAGAAGAACATGGTCACATACGAGCCTCTGGGCGTTGTCTCCGCCTGCGTCTCCTGGAACTATCCGTTCCACAACTTCATCTCCCCGGTCATCAGCGCGATCTTCGCCGGGAATGGTATTGTGGTGAAGCCGTCCGAGCAGACCGCGTGGTGCACCATGTTCTTCCTTGAAATCATCCGAGGCGCTCTTTCGAGCTGCGGCCATTCGCGAGACCTAGTACAAACCGTCGTGTGCCTTCCCGATGTCGCAGGCGCCCTGACATCTCACCCGGATATCTCTCAGTTGACCTTCATCGGTTCACGGCCCGTCGCCCACAAAGTGTGCGAGTCCGCAGCCAAGGCACTGACACCAGTCACTGTGGAGCTGGGCGGGAAAGATCCCGCGGTCATCCTGGACGACGCCCGGACCGTGAGCGAAGTATCCTCTATTGCCTCGGTGCTCATGCGCGGTGTATTCCAATCCGCCGGGCAAAACTGCATTGGTGTCGAGCGCGTCATCGCCCTCCCAGGCGTATACGACAAGCTCCTCGACACCGTCGCCCCTCGCATTCAAGCCCTCCGTCTTGGCTCCGTTCTGCTCGACTCTAAACCAGATGACTCCCGGCAGAAACCAAACACCCCGGACATGGGCGCGATGATCTCCCCGGCCTCCTTCGATCGACTGGAATCTCTCATCGAAGACGCCGTCAGACAAGGCGCACGACTCATCTGCGGCGGCAAACGCTACAATCACCCTAGACAACCCCACGGCCATTACTTCACGCCTACTCTCCTCGCCGACGTGACGCCGGCCATGCGAATTGCCCAGACGGAACTCTTCGCCCCGGTCTTTGTCCTCATGCGCGCGGACTCAGTGCCCCACGCTGTCAGCATCGCAAACTCCACAATGTACGCCCTCGGAGCCAGCGTGTTCGGGTATAACCAGAAAGATGTCGCGGCATGTGTATCTCAGATCAAAGCGGGCATGGTGTCCGTGAATGACTTTGCCAGTTACTACGCGGTGCAGCTGCCGTTTGGCGGCGTCAAGGGTTCCGGATACGGGCGTTTCGCCGGAGAAGAGGGTCTGCGTGCCGTGAGTAACATAAAGGCAATTTGCGTGGATCGCTTCCCCAAGTTGATGGCTACGCGGATACCACCCAGAGTGGACTATCCGATTCAGAAGGGCGATGATGAGAAGCAGAATGGGACTGGAGCTTGGGAGCTGTGCAAGGGTGTGGTTGAGACGGGTATCAGTTGACGCTGGCCGGTAGGATAAGTGGGATCCTGCGGCTGTTGAAGAATATGTGAAGGGTTATCTACTGTATTAGGTGAAATACCTGTCAACAGTCCATCAATGGGGCATATATCTTGTAATTAATATAATGAAATTATGATATTGACAGACACCATTGCAGCCATGTGCTCGATGCTGGCTCTTTCTTTACGCCGTCGTAGTTTCGATCGCCCTCCATTGACTGAACAAATCGACCGACGCCTCCTCCATCCAACTCGGCAGCTCGTCCACATTCAATACATCCCGCAAATACCGTCTCGCCAGCTCAATCTGCCCATTAGCTCTACCGAGATAAAACACCGCACCCTCCGCGGGGTTCGCATTCGCAGTCTCTATCTGCTGCGGCAGCCTCAGCATCAAATCCAGCAACCAATGGCCAAACGAATCCCCGAGATTCATCGCCCACTCCGTAATCTCAGGATCATCCGCCGGGACTGATTCGGCGCTCGCTCGAAGCAATGTCTGGAAAAGAGCGGGGTCATTCCGTGCGACGCGGACAGCCGTGCGGAAATGTTCGGGTGGGATGCTGTAGGGCAGGCCGCCGGCGACGGTTGCGTTGCTGCGGAAGACGTACTCGTCTATTTTGAGGAGGGATGCGAGAGCTCGTGTGTTGTGCTCCACGAGGGCGATGTGGACGCCTTGGTGCAGGGATTCGCGGGAGACGGAGACGTCTGTCTCCAGGTGGCCGGAGCGGTTGAGCCCGCAGGCTAGTCGCATGGTTTCGAGGTACATTGCGTGTTCGTCGCTGAAGCCTTCGCCGCTGGCGCCAAGGAGGAGCTTCTCGGGGAAGTGTTTAATGTTGAGGATCTTGTGGGTTTGTTGCTCGTCGGTTTCCTGGCATGCGATGCTTATTGACACGAAGGGAGTGATGGATAGAGTGTAGTGATTGCCGTCGTTGTCGGTACCTTGGTATATAGAAGTGTCGTCTTCTCGCGTAAGGAACCGGTCCAAGGATTCTTGTTGCTCTTCAGTCATTTCAATACCAGCGTTGACCCAGTGTCTCTGGATAGTCAGGTTTGTCATGTCTGAAACCTGCTTGAGCAACCGGGACATCGTGCACCACCGGCAGCGCAAGATGGATGTTTGAAGACTTTCGCGGTCGTCATCCTGCAGAGGAACATAGTCCAAAGTTCTCGGTATCCTCGAGATAGCAGAGTCTGGATCCTCAGCTTCTGAAGCGGAATCATTCCAGAAAGCGAGCAGTATCAACACGCGATAGATGCGCTCACTCGACACCGCCGCCGCTAGCGAGGGCGATGCACGGGGTAGATTGACATTCAACGAGTACAAGAAGATCTTCTCGATCAACTCTACCGGAAGAGCCTCAAGTATGGACAATGTCTTGCGACGCTTCGACGGCCTGGCGGTCCACAGGCGGGCTCTCTTATTGCTCCTGGACTGAGACGAGCTGAGCCTCGCCTCACGGGACATCAAGGGCCGGCCGCCCTTGGGCCCGCTTGGTCTTGCCTTCGCCCCTTGATCATGGTTAGGGTTCTGAGCAGGGACTTTCTTTCTACGGCCGCGGACCCTGATTGGGGTCAGCATGCCCGGCGGAGGGGAGTGAGTGGAGATTGTCCGACAAGAGTTAAGGTTGTCTTTGCGCCATGACAAGCGAGCCTGTAGATTCTCGAGGAATGTACACGACCCAGTTTGAGCTCAGGTTAGCCCGGTAGGGCTGGGGTTGGCAGGGGTGCAATGACGATATCGTTGACACTTGGAATCTGACAGTTTATGGGCATAACATCACAAAGAGCCGTAGCCAATGAGGAAGAGGTCTGCGAAGAGCCTTACCATAAAGAGGAGAAAAGGGTTTTAGTAGGTCAGCTGACATAGCTCAATCCAGCCCTAGCACTAGACTACTTGAGGGATAGTGTAGCAGATACAAGTAATGATGTCATAGCATGATGTACCTCTCTACATTTCAGTACGTACTATTATGTCAAGTTTCTCAACGCCACTTGCGCACCCTGAATCTCTGTCAAGAACAAGTATGAAAGCCCATGAATGGTCAAGGCACGGTTAAGCTCTTCCTGGATCCCAAACACATCTTGTTCCAGGACCACCTGACAGGTAATCAATCCCTCGATCCACAGTCAGTTTGCCGCATGTAGACGAATCGTACCAAGAAACCAGGATGGACAGTCGTCGATATGACGGCATCGAGCAGTGTTTGGTCCTGGCTCTGTGGAGGTGACCATGCCATAGAATTCATAGAATTACGTTCTTCGTAGCACCTTTTTCTCTCGTAGCTTCTATTCTTACGCAGCCTGCCCCTTTCATGATATTCCCTTGTCCCAACCTCATACATCATTCTGAGACCTTGGCGCCATTGTGACATCGCACCTGCCATATATAGTCTCACTATCCCTCCCCTTCAACCTTACACAATGCGTCCATTCTCTGATACCTCTGTCCACGCTACTGCATCTTCCAGTACTTTGGCAAACACAGACAACACTTCCTCCTCTAAACCACAAACCGTGATCCACATCAAAACAAAGATCCTACAATAAACAAGACCATCTGATCAATATGGGTGCCGTCGTGTCTTGCGTATGTCCCTGCTCTCTCAATTGTTTTGCAAGTCCTTACTGACCACTCCATAGATCCGGGACATATTCCGTTCCATCGGCGCCTGCCTCATGGGCATCGTCAATACCATCGGTGCAGTCCTTAAAGCCATCATCAACGGTGTCGTCAGTCTCTGCGATGTCGTTATTTCATGCCTCACTTGTGGCTACTGCGGAAACCGGGGAAGGATGAGGTCCTCGAGACATCGACGATCAAGGGTCTAGTCACTGCGCCCTTCGGACTTGATGAGTTATGATGGATATGATACCTTGTGTGTTCATGGGCTTGTCTTTTCAGTTTCGTCACGTTATCTGTCCACGTTCGCGCTTTTGTCGTCTGCTTTCTTCATACCCCAGCAGTGTTGGTCATCTTTAGAATCTTATGTATTTCTAAATGATACCGGTTAATCCATGACTTCTTCTCCCTGTTCACGTCTCAAGAGTATCGTATGGTAAAAGTTCATACCTCATGCTGGAGAACATAGTCCTCCTTTCGCTATCAGCTCATTCTTGAGCTTTATATCAGACGAAGGTAAATCATCCCAACGTTCCCTAACCAGAAAGTTGAGGAACGGATCGTTTGAAGAGTCCGCGTATTTCAAAGCTGCCTTGAAATGAGACCGTTGTATAGGCCAGCGGAGAGGGTATCTATATATCCGGATCCGAATGAAGAGTTCTACCAGTACCTTGAAAGTACCGTAATCGCGGCTCCGGATTACCTGGCGAAGCAGGCGCCCAGAACGCTCAAATTCCTCATCGTCATCGATGTATACCTCCGAACACAGCAATTTAAGGAACTCGATCTTCGTCTCTGTCCATGGGCCACAAAGCAACTTGTCTGGCATACGCGATGGAGCTTCGCCCGCGCAACAGGGTAGTCGAAAGAGATCGAGCTCGGTATGAATCGGATTCGGCCTGCGGATCTGAAAGGCGCCAAAGTTGAACCACACTGCGACTCTATACTCCGCGTCGGTTTCTGGATCTAGAGCCCTGCAAACCAGATCGCCTTTTCCTAGACGGCCTCGGTGGCCCTGGTCGTATCGTTTCAGGTCGTGGAAGTGCTCCCCGATCTTGGCTATGCTGTCGCGGTCTTCAGGCGCGAACACTAGTTCTCGACACTTGAGACGGACGGCGTGTTCGATGTATTCTCTCTGGCATTTGCGCATGAGCTCCAGCGTACACCAGCGGCATGCGAGAATTGCGCTTTGGAGGTCACTTCGTTCTTCTGTAGATAGGGCGAAGAAGTCTAGTGGCGGAGGGAGAAAGTCTGGGGTGAAAAAGCCATGCTTGGAGCTCTTGTTGGAGCTACTGAAGGCCAGGCGGATGAGCCAGGTATAGAGGGTCGGATTTGATAGAGCCCTAGCAAGGGAAATCGAGGCTCTCGGAAGATTGAACTCGAGACTATGCAGGAAGATCGTCTGGAGGAGCTCCACTGGGAGGCATTCCAGCCTAGACTGAGCCTGCACTGAAGGCGATTCCTGTTTCATCTGCTCGGAGTCGCCTCCCTGATGAACCGCATGCGGTTGTATGATGTGATTTGACATGGTATGGATGGTCGTGATGAAATCAAGCCGAGACAATATCTTGATAGTCATGCCATGATATGGGCGAATCCATATATATTGTTTCGAATCAGCCAGGGGATGCAATGAGAGACCAGACAAGACTGCGCAGCCACAAAGGTAGCCGCCTCTGTCAAATCATCTTCGTTGGCAAGTATGTCTGAAGAACTATTACTGCAGGACGAGGGTTGGGCACTCGGCCGCCAGCTCGGTGCTATTCTCAGGTATCGATCCAGAGAAATAACCAACAATACCAGTCAGACCAATACTATATGTCTGGGATAAATGGATGACAGCATCAGCGCTACTTACTATGACTCGATCAAGCAAAGCCACAATATCAAAAGCGGCATGCAAAGCGAGTCGCTAAGAGCCCGGTATGGAGTAGAAGCGTAAATTCCATGTACAGGGACAGGGGCTGAAGGCGGAACAGCCCAGTTCGCTGAAAGTCCAGCATTGGACACACTCGATATATCCAAAACTCGGACTAGTTGACCAATCACCAGAACTCTCTATTTGACGGGCCTGCTTTTGGTTGGTTTCTGTCTTTTTTGTCGCTTAATGCTTGCAATCTTAGGTCGTGATACTCATTTTACGCGCTACAGGTACAGAAGGCAAGTGAGTTTCCAGTACAATGCTCGGCCTGGGCTGGGGAAGGGAGCACCATCTACAGCAGGTTCACATATATGTGCGATGTGCGAGAAATCGTGAATCAATGAAGACGGGAGTATTAAGCATCGAAAAGGACGAGTCATGGCTAAGAGCCGTAGGCGAAAATGGCTGGATGCATAAATGCAAGGAAACCGTCTTCTAATTTCAACATTGATTCTATACAGATCCGTCGACCAAAAGAAATACACTGCCAGGTATCAGGAATGGTAGCCATTCGTTAACAGGCTTGACAAGAAGTTTCCGTCGTGTAATTCCATTGGTTGTAGGATAAAAGATGCGGGAAATGAGATGCAAATGCTGACAATTTAAACAGCGGACAAGTCACCGAAGCGCTCCTATTCAAATAAATTATGGTCAGTAAATCGACTTGTATGAAAGCAAACGTCCAGGAATTGTAACCCACCTTGTATCCGGCCGGCATCCATCTGCCCCTGGAGACGAGGGCAGCAGTCTTCTCATCAATCTCGGGCTGAGCAGCAGCGACCTCATCCTGCAAAAGAGTCAATTCATATACCCTTCAAACACATCGCCTCCCATCTTGTAATCTAAAACATACCACAGTGAGCTCGTCGAAGGGACGAGCGGTCTCAATGTTCTCCAGAGTCTTCTCCAGGTTGCGGAGCTCGGACTCGACCTTGCCCTTGGTCTCCTCAGCGCTCTTGACGGCCTGAGCCTCGAAGGCATCGATTGCCTTCAACTGACGGCTGACATCGTAGGTAGCGGGCTTGAAGTTCTTGACGTAACCCTCGATCTCGTCGACGATAGCCTGGTTCTTCAGGATGCTGCGGTAGTGGTCGAAGTTGACGGTCTGGGGCTGCTCGGACAGGACCTGGACCTTGCGGCGCGCATCGTCGTTACGCTTCTTGAAGGCCTGGAGAGAGGCAGCGGTCTGACCGCGGAGGCCCAGAGAGCTGGTCACCTTGACCCAGTCGATCTTGAGAGCGGCGCTACGCTGTAAAAAACGAGTGTTAGCGATTCGAATCCTCCGATTCATCACAGATCCATCGTAGGAAAGCGCAAGTAACATACAGCAGCCATTTTTATTTGTGGAATGGTGGAAGATAGGAAAAAGAGGGGGACTTCAACGTGCAAACCTGGACATTCCGAGATGAGGGTTGTTTCGGCAAGGTTTGGATGGGGATAAAGTCACGTGATTATTTCGTTCCCGTGTTCCGAACACCCATCCACCAACAGCCGCAAATCATCAGGCAAGGCTGAGCTGTTATATTGATACGCATCGTTATTTAATGGAACTTTAGATGTAGTATTGTCCATGATTGTAAAGATTGGAATACAACATTCCAGGGTAAGAATGGCCGTAGAAAAAGTGATTTAAATCCGGTCAATTCTCCTTTTTTTGAACTAACTGATTTACACAAAGGGCGAGACAGAACAAGCGTCAAAGGGATGTCAACCTGATGTCGCACCCAGAGTTCATCCTGCCAGCAGGGCTAAGACGTCAGCCACTGACGGCGTGGATTCAACTTGGCGGGGTTATATGCTGAGCGCCATGATGGAGTTGACGATATCGTTGTCGTTCTCGCGCAGGGCCTTGACGGCCTTCTTGCGTGACACATTAGCCTGAGCCATGACGAGCTCGATGTCCTTGGCCTCGAGGCCAGTCTCATCGACCTCCTCACCATCATCCTCTTCCTCCTCCTTCTTGGCCTCGGTCTCGGGGCCTTGCCCTTGCCGTGGTCGTGGTCGTGGTCGTGACCGGCGTGCTCGCCAGCGGCGGCCTCAGCGGCAGCCAGCTGCTGGGCAGCGGAGGCCTGAGCCTGGGAGTTCAAGTCCTCGATCTTGGCCTCACCGAAGATGCTGTTGAAATGTGTAAGCTAAATGATAGACGCTCATCGAAAGAATCCGTAAGACACATACATCCAGGTGTTGCTGGAGGGAGAGCGGTAGACATCGGGCTGGTTGATGACGAAGAGGATCTGCAGAGGACGAGTTAGCTCCTGCTCTTTCACATTTGGGTTCTGCCTTGCAGGAACCCGAGATATATGGACTATCGATCGTCGCGAGAATGGGCCGTGTTCTTACGTTCTTGGGTCTGCGGAGGGTAACACGAGTGATGCCGGGAACGTGCTTCAGGCCGAGCTTGCCAATGGCCTTTCTGGCCTTCTTCTCGTTACGGGAGTGGATGGTGACGGCGGCGCCAGCGGGGATGCTGGACTCCTCACCAGCCTCGGACTCAGAGTCGCTGCCAGCGTCCTCAACGTTGGCCTTGGGAACCTCCTCATCAGGGAGCTCTTCAACACGGGGATCAGCCATTTTTGCGGTCTAAACGAGCCTAGAAGGGCTGTTAAATTGACTGTTAGCGATTCGAACTGGAGCACCGTCAGGTGGTTCAAATATAAACGTTGGAAAATGCCCCACGAAACACTCAAATCTCCACCAAAAGCGCAGGAAAATAAATTGGGCCCAGAAATGAATTTGGAATCTGTAAAATCAATATAAACATACCTAGTTCACGGATAGAGGGCTGTTGGGGATGATTGGGGGTTTTTGTCTTGTTGTAAGTGGAAGGTCGCAAAGCTGTGTGAATGCCATGCTGCCGAAAATCGTTAGCGAGGTGATTGTGACCCTCACCCCGGACTCACACAAGCACCACCTTTACAAGCTATACAAGTCATAACGAGCCAATTAAACTCAAATATATATATGACGATATATTCCTACATTTTCCCTGAGGCAATTGAGTCTGAAGTGTTTAATTCCCAATTAATGTCTAAGGAGACGGCTAAAAACCAGAGCCATGTAACTAATCGGGTGCGCCAATCTGATGACATAGTAGGATAACCAGTGTCAGGATATCAAGGTTTTGAATCATTTTTTGGCTGTCATTGTAGTGGATACAGCTTAATTTTTGCTGAAATAGAATAAAACCCTCAGCCATGTAAAACCGTCCCAAGGTACCCCTTCATACTATGCACCGAGCCTCATGAAAACATCTATGACTTAGGAGCAGCAGCCCTGACCTTGGCGTGAGCCTTCTGGACCTCGTAGCGAGCCTGTTAAATCACGACATGTCAGCAAACCGATCGCATATTATCTTGCAAGTAATTGCTCCTCTTTCCTCTCGCGATAAGCGAACGCAGAGTGGCCGAAAAAATGTCCTCCAACGTCCCATCACAAATTCACCCGTAGTTTCGCAAACTGCACGTACCTGCTTTCTGAGTCTGAGGACCTTGAAGCGCTCGAAGTCGGTCAGGTTCTTCCTCCGCTCAGCGCGCTCAGTCTTCTGAGCAATGGTGCTCTTAGCCCACTTTCCATCGATCTCGTTCTTCTCCCAGAGCTTCTTGACGGGGCCAGTGCCGGCAGCGCGGGGGAGTTTGGGAATGACGAAGGGGGTGAGAGTGGCGTGAGCGAGAGGAAGGGCGTGACGGGGAACGATCTTGTTCTCCTCGGTGGAAGGACCGTCAACCAGGACCTATAATCGCGACTCTTGTCAATATCACATCCGGCCATAATCTTTCCGTCCTGGGCTCAGAATTCCTCCGTTGAAAAACGTACACGCTTGTGGTCGATGATCTCGACAATGGCAGCAAGCTTGCCGGTGTAAGGACCGCTGCGGATCAGCAGAACACGGCCAACCTCAACAAGCTTCCATTGAGCAATCTTGACATCGATATCGGCCATGGCGAAGGCTTCCTAGAAAACGACAAAACGGATTCTTCAGTGACAGTCCAGAAATGCGATAGAGGGCGTAGATTTCAAACTCACGGTCGACAGACTCCGGGAGGGCGGTGATGGGAATTTGTTGTCGAAGAGTCGGGGTTGTCAAAGTCGTCCGAAACGCACACAAGTCGCTCTGGGCTACTGGATCGCGAATTTCCGGTGTTGCGTTCTTCGCCCACAAGAGTCTCGCTTAACAGCCAGTAGCAACTCGCCGAACGGGGTTGCGTGCGGCCTAGGGCTGCTTTTCGCTGGGGCCTTGGCGCCTCAAGGCCGGCTTTACTCGTTTCTCCGTTCCGGCCAAACTACATTTAAGCTTCTCCCAAAACATTTTACTCACCTCTTCCTTGCATTTGCAAAGAGTTTGAGCTGGCCTTTGGCTTGTTCCTTCAGGACAAAATGAGGTTCTGCTTATGCTATCTGCGACTGACTTGATCTACACAGGTTCATACATGGGATATCCTATATTTTACTGGTATGTTTCTATCTCCATTTTTTCAATATCACCATTCACATGATGCGGTAATTTGCGATTGACGCAGTGTCTGTGAACCCTTGCCGGGGTTCGTTAAGCAGCGCTGCCGCATGATATTCATTTCTTACATATTCTGATATTTGTTGATTGCTCCTCTTTCATTATCGTCACGATTCGTCCTTTCAGCGAGCTGACTTGTCAAAGACATTTTAGGTTCTCGTCAACTGGTCAATCTCATCAATCAGCAGACATTTCTGGTACGTTCGACTACTTTTTCCCTTCCCCAGTCACCGTCCGATGATTACACCTTTTGCACTGCCTAGATAGTATATGATGCCTCACGGCTATGATATGTTGCATTATCACCAAGATCTCTGAGGACTTGTGACCTTTCAACCTTTCTTGTACATTTTTACTTGTTTGCATCCGTCTAACATGAGACATTTATAGGTTATGGTGGACAGCTATGGATCCTTGTGTAGTCATTGGAATAACAATAATATGAGTCTTTCAATTCGTCCTCAATATCTATCTTTAGACTCGTCCCTTTGTACTCGCTGTAATATTTCTAACTTAGACGTTCCCTAATCGTATCTGAGAATTTTCGTAGAGAGGCCTGGTACTAAGAAACGTGGTGGAACTCAAAGAAATTCATTATGGTATTGAACCTCACTAGTACATACAGATCGCAATGAACACCGGCAAGCGAAGACCTACGGTCGACGCCGTCATAAGAGACTGCTTGCTTTTCATGAAGCCCGTCTATGTCATTATTATATGCAACTTCGCTGTCATCAAATGGAATCATGACAGCGACCCGGCACCCTTTGCAGCCGCTGAGGCAGCAGTAGCTGGGCCCTCGCGGCTCAGCACCCACATGAAGATGAATTGGATGACATAAGAGTAGATGAACAGGAACTGAGTTCGACGATTGCGCTGCGAACGGGCAACTGTATGCATCGAACCGGCGCGCATGGACGCATCACTGGTTGAGTCTGGGAGAAGAACGTACTTCAACGAGCGGAGCTGGAAACTTGTCAATGGACTGGCCGGCTGAAGTCACAATGCTTTTCACTTACCAAGAAGAAAGCATTGGCGAGGAATGTGTAAACGAACACAACCCAGCCAACCCAACCGCCAGTTCCCCTTCCTGGCGTCAAGATCTCGGACATAACCAGAGTTGCAATGATGCCAACGAACTTGTAGCCAGAGTATGCCACAAGGTCCAACAGCTGAGATTCATTGTTGATGCTGAGAATGTACATGGCCAGCTTGAGACACAGTATTTCAAAAACTATGACCGCAATAGCCGTCGTAGTTATCGAGCCAAGTAGCTCCGGATGGAAATGACCTCGGAATCCCGCCAGCACCGCTGAAAGAAGAATATAGGTGACGAGTGCCATCACAGGGATGTACATATCTGGAGAGTTCAGATCGTCACGAGGGGGGAGGAACATGGATGAGTATTGTTGCTGTGCAATCTGACCATTAGGACCGGCCGGCGATGTTGTTAGACGTGCTTGCTGACGAGACCAAGGCTTGTGTCGCCAGGGAAAGAGCACGAGTGCGAGCTTGTTCAGGACGTAATAGTTCGATACGTTGAAGTAATGCTTGAGAGCTGGAATGGAGACATAGCGATTGAACTATCGAACTTCAGCAGAAGCTCATAGGTTTGGGGTGCGGTAGGCTTCTTTGTTAGTCAACTCACGTTCTGTTCCATATACTCCTGGCCAGCAGCCATCGCCGTCTTCCCAACCTGGAATCCCATCTGCGCTGTGGGATCACTGATGAACCCACTAAAACCAGGCGCATATGTTCCGCTGCCGCCCTGCGCAGGAGAGGGCTGATAAGGATTGCCATATCCAGATGACTGGGGTTGCTGGGATGCTGGGGGAGGAGGCGAGCGCATCATGGGAACGGTAGACACATGTTGAGGCACAGGATGGTGGAGTGGAGGTGACTGCGCCGGCGGCGGTACGAAAGACTGGCGGTACATGTTGAATTTTTCTGTATAAGTAAGAAGCTAGTGATGAAAGAAAGTCTCGCAAATATTCCGTCTCGTCTTCTTGTCTTCTAGCAGCCGAAGAGGGGGGATGTTGGAAATCGGACAGTTCGAGTGCGAGTGATGTTGAAGTGTGTTTATACGTGGCTGGACTCGGTCTGATCGCCGGGGAGCTCTCACCTTTTCCGCCCGCGGTTCCCCACCATAGTGGCCACTACACTCACTTGTCCGTTCCCCAGAACCCACGCTGCTCGCCGTGAATAATATACACAAAAAGTGCTTACGATCATGTTAGAAGCCTTCGAAGTCTTGACTACATCCGGGGTGGTGCTGTGGTCAAAGTCGTATACACCGGTCGGAGCGCATGTGGTCAACAGCCTAATCAACGATGTCTTCATTGAGGAGAAGGTTCGCGCGCAGAATCAGGCAACGAGCAGTGCAGCTCCTATATACAAGAAGGAAAAGTATACTCTGAAATGGAAGCAAGTCAAGGATTTCAATCTGATATTTGTGGTATGTTCATGCCGCGCTTTGATTCAATGGCGCCGCTGACCGAGTCCATAGGCTGTATATCAATCTCTGCTACATCTTGGCTGGATCGACAAACTCTTGGATAACATTTCGACCATATTCATCGACTTATATAAGGACGAACTGAGGAGCGCACGGGCTAGGATTATTGAGTACCCGTTCGATAAGTACTTCGACCAGCAGGTGCGAGAGCTTGAGGACAATGCTGGGGCTCCTACATCAGAAACTCTCGTAGCAGAGAGCAATGAGAGAAAGGACCCTCTTGTTTCATCAGATAATGGTGGGCCACCTCCGCCGCCCGTGCCTGGTCTGTTGAAAGGTATTTGACATCGATAATTTTTCTCCACTAGTGATTGTGTTGCTAACTACCTCCGAAGCGCAACGTCCAGTTGCGCAGGGCGCGGCGACCTCGGACGAGGGTTCGCCACCCCAAACCCCAGATCTTTCTCGATCATCAACGCCCATTTTAGGTCATCTGTTGACCGCCAAGGGAGGGCCTGCTGGCCGCGCCTCTCGCCGCGCACGCAAAGCGGCCAACGCGAGCGCCACTGCTTCTTCTGGAGATGAAAGCATTCGGAAGGGGAAAACACCAAAAAGTGGCAAAAAGATGCGCAAGTGGGATGCTGATGGCTTTGCGGATGAGGATGATGGCAAGGTCCTCGATTACTCCGCGCCTGCAGATGGCGAGGACGCACCAGCTCCAGTAGTAGAGGCTGTTGCGCAAGAATCCTGGGGACGCCGAACAGGCAAGGGCCAATTTGTGCTGAAAGATCTAGGGGATGAAGTCCATTCCATTCTTGAGAATGCTGATCATGAAAAGGCAAAGGCTTCCTCGTCCACGGGCCTTGTTGGGTCAGGAGTCAACGCACTTGGTGGATTCTTCCGTAATATTGTCGGCGGCAAGGTCCTTACTGAGGCTGACTTGGAGAAACCCTTGAAAGCCATGGAAGACCATTTGCTGAAGAAGAACGTTGCGCGCGAAGCGGCCGTCCGTCTATGTGAAGGCGTCCAGCGCGAATTAGTTGGCAAGAAGACAGGCAACTTTCAAAGTGTTGATGCAGCGCTGCGCTCCGCAATGGAGTCCTCATTGCGCAAAATATTGACACCTACGTCGTCTCTCGATCTACTGCGTGAGATCGATGCTGTTAGATCTCCGACGAGCAAAGGACAGGCTCCTCGCCCATATGTCATCTCCATCGTGGGCGTCAACGGTGTTGGAAAGTCGACAAATCTGGGCAAAATCTGTTACTTCCTTCTCCAGAATAACTATCGTGTTCTGATTGCAGCCTGCGACACCTTCCGCTCTGGAGCCGTGGAACAGTTACGAGTCCATGCTCGCAATTTGAAGGAACTTAGTGCCCGAGAGAATACTGGAGAGGTTGAACTCTACGAGAAGGGATACGGAAAGGATGCAGCGAATGTAGCAAAGGATGCAGTGGAGTACGGCGCGGCGAATCAATTCGACGTTGTCTTGATTGATACTGCCGGTCGCCGTCATAACGACCAACGCCTTATGTCTTCTCTGGAGAAGTTCGCGAAGTTCGCCAAACCGGATAAGATCTTCATGGTCGGTGAAGCTCTGGTCGGTACGGACAGTGTGATGCAGGCTCGCAACTTCAACCAAGCTTTCGGCACTGGGAGAAACCTCGATGGCTTCATCATCAGTAAATGTGATACCGTTGGTGACATGGTAGGTACGCTTGTCAGCATGGTGCATGCTACAGGCATTCCCATTGTTTTTCTGGGCGTGGGCCAGCACTATGGTGATTTGAGGGGCCTAAGTGTGCCTTGGGCTGTCAATCTGTTGATGAAGTGAGTGCGCAGCTTTTGCCTTGTTAAAGAGATTTATATCATCTCGCTTCTGGTCACGCTGGATCTTGGAATGTTCTTGTAAATTAACTTACTGCGATTATACATTTCTCGCTACGGTAAAAATAAAGAAAAAAGAGAACGAGAACGAGAAAAAAGAGGCAAAAAGAATGACCTACGCAGGATTCGAACCTGCAATCTCTTGATCCGTAGTCAAGCGCCTTACCATTGGGCCAGCAGGCCTTCTTGAAGGATTTGGGCAGTACTGAGTCTTATCAGAAAAGGCAACAATGGGCGCTGGTGCTGCGAGCATCCACACAGTCTCTCCCACCATAAGCTTACGCCAGTCATTGTTACTGCAGCATAAGTACTCTAGTGTGGCTCTTATGCAGGGGGAACCATACAGGATTTTGAACGATGAATGTATTTGTTCTGCCTTGAGGTATGACATCATTTTGTTTTTGGAGCCTTACTATCTCGACCTCATGGGAGGATTATGACACCCTTGGTTCCTGAATCTTGTCTTGGCTGGAATGACCTTCATTGACACAACCACAGAAATAGCGCGAATCATTAATATTTCTGGGCCTGGCATGTTGGTACTTCGCGTGGGAAACGCATGACTCAGCGTGTCTCCCCAGATCGCTTACATCATCATCTCAGTCTCAAGTTCTGGACCTGGACTGCTCACTCAAATCATCACCCCATTGCATAATCTGGTCACTTCTGCTCTGTGCCTTGCCTTGCTATTGTACACTGGAAGACGTGTTTGTGATTGATAATTCGCCGGTTTGGAAGTACATGAGCGCCTTATTCCTTCCCAATCCGGCCGCGCGTGACGCAGTATTTTCCTCCGCACTTTGAACTTTCTGGAGACCATTGAGCAACATAGAGATTGGATTATCAGTCGACCTGCCTGCTACAATAAGTCTCGTACGAATCTTTACAAAAAATACATCTCTCCTCGAACTGCGTGAGGATCGTGCCCTGTGAGGATGAGAGAGACTGAACAGAACTCGCTGAATAGGCGTCATTCGACCACGCAGCACTATCAAACCTTCGACACTCCTCCTCCAAAATCGCGTGGAAGACCGAACTCAGGCCAATCCGAATCGTCAGGCGGCGACTCGAATCTGCAACAACATGGATCCGGAAGCGACGACGGATCACGATCTCCCTTGCCGAAGAAACAGATGGCAGTGTTGGCGATGATCGCGCTTTGTGAGCAGACGGCACTCAATTCGATCAGCCCTTATCTGCCTGATATGGCGGCGTCGTTTCCCGGAGTCGAACCGCAGTCTGTGGGTATCTATGTCGGAACGATCGCCTCGGCGTTTGCGATAGCGCAGTTCATAACCAACTACTTCTGGGGTTGGCTGTCGGATCGCGTGGGACGGAAGCCGGTCATATTGCTTGGGACCATCCTCACTGCAGTTTGCATGCTAGCGTTTGGATTCTGTAAGACGTTATGGCAGGCCATCCTGGTGCAGGCGTTGATGGGCGCTGTCAATGGCAACCAGGGATTGGTGTCAACGTGCCTGGGAGAGATTACCGACAGAAGCAACCAGTCGAAAGCTTTCACTTATCTCCCTGTCCTCTACGGTATCGGAGGTATCACCGGACCTCTTATTGGCGGCTTACTAGTCTTCCCCGAAATCCTTTGGACAAGAACAAACCCAATCCTTATCCTTATGCCGGGCCGAACCTCGTGTGTGCGGGAATTCTTATGGTGGACTTCATTTTGACGAGCCTTTTCCTCGAAGAGAGTCTCGAGGATGCGGAAGTTTTTCCTACAGTCAAACGCAGAATTCGTGCAATATTTGTCTGGTTGTGGGAGTGGACTAGTCATGCACGGCGGGCAAGACAGGCATACCCTCCCCATGAATATCATTCCGTGCAACAGCATGCATCTGAGCAAGATCATGACAGCGAACTTGACTCCGCCTCGGAAGTGTCCAGTCATCAAGGCGTCACACATGAGTCCCTGCTCAAAACCGAGATCTGGAATCGGGACACTGTTTTGCTTCTGCTGACGTATCTCATCTTCGCCCTGGGCAATGTGTCTTTCAACTCGCTTTTCCCTATCTTTTCGCATGCTCCACCTCCTACGGGACGAGCCCTTACTCCGAGCGAAATTGGTCTCTCGCAAGGTTTTGCCGGCCTGGCCACTATCCTCTTCCAAGTTTGTATCTTCGGCAAACTGCGAGATAAGATGGGCAACCGGTGGTCATATCGGGCAGGCCTCTTCGGCTTCGTCCTGTCGTTCATGCTCATGCCTTTCGTCGGATACAAAGGAGACGATGCTGACGGTCGGCTGACCAAAAAGACTGCTTTCATGGCTATGGAATTGTGCTTCGTGCTCTTAGTTAAGACGGTCGCTGCGGTTGGCGGTTTGACTAGTGCGCTTTTACTGGTAAAGTCATCCTCATCCCGACTGGGATTCGAGAATGCGCTAACTTGTCCTTCAGATTACGAACTCTGCTCCGGATCACGCAGTTCTGGGAGCACTCAATGGTCTTGCGCAAACTCTCGCCGCGGCTGGTCGAGCAGCCGGTCCGTTCCTATCTGGTGGCCTTTTCTCCCTGGCCTCCCGCATCCAACCAAAGGGAGAACTGCTGGCTTTCGGCGTCTTTGCTGCCGTTTCTTTTGTCGGCTTTATCTTGAGTTTCGGCATCAAGGGTCGCTCTTTAGAGGCGCAGGATTGGGAAAGTGACGACGACGATAATTATAAATCGGATGATGAGCATCCCTCAACTCCGTGATTGTGCCCCGGACAACCTCAGGACGGGTATCACCCGGTCGTTATGAATTGATGATCATGTATAGTGTCTCTAAGCCTCGAGTCCGGTGTTTTCCATTGTTATTGCATTTCCCTTAGATTGCCTCGCATCTGTTGCGCAAGCGCTTGTTCATATGTATATATTGGTGACAGCGACGATAGATTTATGGTTCATTCCGGGTCTGGGGACATCTAAACTTTCATATCATTGGCACGTCTTGTTCGTGTAGGTGGGATTAGATATTTGCATGAGATTAATCGAGACATCTACGTGTAAAATTTTGATCACAAGGATGATGCTAACCCCGATGGCTCGCTGGTACACCACATGTCTAATCATAGAAAGTATCCAATTGTGTTTTATCAACTTCGTATTCTCGACAACTCCTAGAAACAAAGGAAAAAAGGTTCGTTCGTGTATTCATGCTCCTCACTTCCACTCCCACTCAATGACATACATGAACGCTTCCTCCAGGTATCCCGACAGAAGCAAGCCCTGAGCATACTCGATCAGCTCGCTATCCGGCAACGAGAGAGACCGAAAATGTTCCCTTTCGCCGTTCGAGCCCCGCACGCTGATTCGCTTCTGGATGGCTGATTTGAACATTTCCTTGCCTGGGCTGACGAGGACGTACTTTGCGGGTGTATTGGGGGTATCCGGGGGGATGTAGCAGATGGCTTCTTGGCGTTGGGGGTTAGCCATTGGATTTCTCGGGGGTGGTGTTGGCGGTTGTTGGGGTTGAAGAACTTGTATTGCCGGGTCCAGATGATGATGATGACGATGATGATGACGGTGACGAGCTGCTGTCGATGGTTGCGAACCGGATGTCTGAGTCGAGGGAGAAGATGATGAGGGTGTTTGTGAGGGAGCTGAGCTTCATCCGGAAGGTTGTGAAGTTGCGCGGGTCGAAGTAGAAGGTGTAGCTGGCGAGTACGTCTACGGTCCTGTTCCCGTCGAGGGAGCGGATTTTAGAGAGAGCCTGGTCTCGGACCCAGGGTGGGCAGCGTGGTTTGACGGCTAGGGATTTGGACTCGCGGAGAGATACGGAGGGGATGCAGTAGGGGAGGTGTGATTGCAGGCTGGCTTTGTGGCATGGTTCGCTGCAAAAGCGGAAGATTTTGCATGCTGGGAGGCTGGTCAGCTTGTGCCGTGAGTCCGGGGGAAGATGTCAGAGAGAGGACTCACAGTTGCAGAGGATTTTGGTGGATGTTCCGCAGTTCTGGCATTTCCCGGGCTCGTGCAATCCCCACTCTTTTCTCTCAGTAGCCAGAACTTCTCGCCGGCGGTCGAGCTCGACGATTCTCTTCTGTGCATAGCCGATCCGTTTCCGCGAATGGTGCTCGTCGGGCGTGGCACTTGCCATTTGAACGAGCTGGTGATAGGCGAGGATGGCTTTATCCACGGAGTCGAGGTGCTCGCGTGACACGCAGAGCGCACTGAGCGCATCGAACGTCTCAGGAGCCTCTGGTCCTCTTACTACTAGGAGGTCCTCGAACAAGGTCTCGAAGAGATCAGCGGCGTCTCGGTTCAGTCCTGCATCCATGTACGATCGGCCTAATCGATGGATAACCCGAAGGGCCTCGGGGTCGCGAGAGTTGCGGTATTGGTCGAGTACGTCCAGGATTTCTGGGGGAAAGTCAAAATTGTCAGAGCCTTGGATATACCGGACAACGGCATCTCTCGTGATAGCACTCGCTACACCGAAGATCGTCTTGCAATGTGGGATGGTTTTGCCACATATCATCCGAGATTCCTTGACTAGGCCGAGCTTCTGATACAGAAGAGATAGCTTGTTCATTGCGTTGAGGGTCGTTTCGTTCTGTAGTCCAAACACCGTGTCCAGAGCAGGAACCGCCCTCTCCAATAAAAGGAGCGCGGATTCTAAATCACCCAAGGAGACCTTGAGCGACGCGAGATCTTGCATGCTACTCAATGTTTCCGGTGCGTGCTGTCCCAGAGTCTTCAACCTGCCGGCGAACGAGCGTTCGTATAGTGCGGCTGCTTCGGTGGCGTATCCGTCCTTCTCACAAAGTGCTCCTAGATCGTGCAGAACTGCAAAGTTCGTAGGGTGGTCGCGCCCAAAGGATCGTTTGTAGAGCCCGAGTGCCTCCAGGTAGCAGGCTTCCGATTCTGCGGCCATGTCCAGACTGCGGTATGCATGTCCCATAGAATGTAAAATGGACGCGCGAGACAATCTGTCGGTGTCCAATGCTGGCTCACTGTCCAGAGTCCGCAGTGCATCATGAAACTCCACAACCGCTGCTTTCGAATTGCCCTGCTTGAGGGCTGCATCAGCCCGCATACGCGTTATCAGGGTTTTGGAATAGACTGTCGAGGCAGAGAGCTCATTCTTCAGCTGGAGAAAGAGCTGAGCTACCTCATCCATCTGGAGCAGTCTTTGACGTCCAGAGGCGTCATGAACCATTGCGCCTCCCGAGAGGTGTTGAATATGAATGAAAATGTTCTGGCAGTTTCGTAACAACGTCATATACTCGGCTTCGAAAACAGCTGTTCGGATTCCATCCGCTCTGCGTTGCGTTTTGGCTGTGGTTTTCATGGCACTTGAGCTTCCTTCGCTTTCTAAGCTTGTATCACTTTCATTCTTGGAGACCCTTTGCGTGAAAGAGAGCCTCACGGTATTGACTCTTTTCAGCAACTTTCTCCCTCGGTTAGAGGCAGATTTTGCGCGTGACAGACCTGTTCTCCGTCAGCTGGGGTTTTGACTAACATTATATTCATCAAGCAAACCTTTCGGAATGGTACGACCAAATATCCTTTGCAGAAAAGATTGCCTTCGAGATGGCGACGGTGGTGTCCCTTGTGCTTGGTCTTCAACCAGATTTCCCTGCGAATCAACATAATCGGTTCTGTAATGCTCGTTTTCCTCCTCACAAAGGGCCATGCCCGATGCCTTTGAGCCAATGACATGGACATCATTCGGCGCTGGCAGTAATTATCAGCCGTTCACTCTCATGCACTTTTGTTCTTATAGAGACAGGGCCGAGCATACTTTCATAGGGACAGTCCCTCTGTGACTGCGTGGACTGCCATTCGGCAGCACCTCCGAACTGTTGGAATATACCATTGGGGGCATGGACTGCATCACACGTTAAACATGGCGCGTCAGAAAAAGGGTTGGCCTACCTCTCTCCAGGTCATATAGTCCAGCAAAACTAATCGCGATGAGCTCATCTTCATCACTTTGCGAGATTTCTGTCGAGAATTAGACATGTCTCTCATCAGTGGAATTGTGGAGCTTACTTCTGAATGACCAGGAATCCCGCAGCTTTCTGGCCCTCTGAGCAAACGATTGCTCCCCGGCGGTATTGGTCGCAATATGAAATTTAGAGCCGGTAAAGCTCATCTGCGCAATGCTGGGGCTTCTGCTGTGCGCCCCATTTGCCCTGTCCTTTTGAATATCCCGAAGACTGATATCGTCTCGGGGGTCATTCAGAACAGGCTCATATCTAAATTAGTCGTGTAAGACTGGCTGGACGACAAATAGATCAGTATCAGACTGGCACTGACGAGATGTTACACTCCTCCCCGCAGTTTTTGCAACTGATGAATGACGGCATGTCTGCGAGCTTATATGAGAGGATGTTCATAGGCAGTTACGGGTGACCGTCTCACCTCGCTGTCGATCCACTATTTCATCCTTGTCACCCATGGTAAATTGCTTCTCGCAATGCTCGCAGAAAAATCGGAGCGGACGGGAATTCAGAGGCAAAAACCGCTTTTCCATCCGGTAGCCCTTGGTGATAAGACTATAAAAGAATACTCAGCCTGAATCAACCGTACCCTGAAGTCAAGCATACCGATCTCGCATCATCAAATAGATTGCCACAGCTGCCCCAGGACAGAACCTCGTCAAGTAGTGTTGTTTCAATTCACACCTGTATATATCGTCAATTATGCATTGAAGAAGCAGGACAAATCAGCGGCCGTACGGTGAGGAGAAGACAGCATGGCAATCCGGGCATTGGGAGTCCGCAGCACCATTGGGGCCCCCATCGTCATTTCTGAGAGGCGGGAACAGACGTACAGTTTCTGCAAAACTTTCAACGCCTGGAGAATCTTCGACGGTTTCTATAGATTCGCGTCACAATACGTTAGATTTATCAAGTGGCGGATCATACACAAGAGCGGAATTCGACGAACCATTCTCTGTCTTGCCAGCTAACGACAGTAAGATGTCCGACGCTCGAAGAACCCGTGTCCGCGCTCCAAGTGCAACAGAGGCATTGTGAGAAGAAGGGCTTAAAACAATTTGGTTCTCAAAGTTCCGCTTCGCCTCTTCCTGCAGCGGACTGCGGCTGTCAATGCCATCTCTAGTCATCAAATATGAGTTCTCAGTGGGATATCCTAATCGGGGAGCAAATGCAGACCCTGGGAATGTTCTTACCGTTCCACCATCGGACTTGTATAATGACCGTAATCCATAACCAAGCTTCAGATAGGATGAAGAGAGGTCAAAGGCAAAGTTAAGAAGCAACCCGGATGTCAATGACACAAACCCACATGCAATCTGGACGAAGATCAAAGAAAGAAAGAAGCCGCATCGGAATGCACCAAAGGGCCGGGTGAGGCATCATTTTCAATAATCGGCAGGTCATGGTCCAGGTGCGTGTGCCCTGCGGGTCATCTTGATGAAATCGATTCTCCATGGGGATGAGAGAGGTAAACGGGTCGCATACTTTCTGGTTTCAAAAGGGAGGAGTTCGCAGCGTCAGTGCTTGTTATCCCTCGCATGATCCTAGCGGGACGCTTCCTTGGGATTGTGAAAGTCGTTTGCGAAGGATAGAAGCCAAATACTGAGTAGGCTCTGTAATCTGATGAAAAGGCCAATCAATTGACAGCTGAGAGGGTGGTTGGCGTCTGCAGGGTTTGTTGTCTCGGGCAATCCCGTTGGATGTGTATACTCTACAGAAATGTCGTGTGTTGGAGAGTCGCGGTCTTCGCGTCTCTTTTCTCTTTGAATTGACCGGACATCAACAATCAGGGGGAAGGATATCTCCAACAGCCAATCAGAAACACATTCTTCTTGATCCTGATTCCTTTCCTGTCAAAGAAATTCATCCCTGGCTCTGTACGACGATAAACCGATTGCTCCCTTGCGTCGAACTTTCTACAAGCACCCCAATGCCAGGAATACGTCTCCTCGGCCACGCCATTTTTCCTCACCGCATGAACATGCTCCTGCCTGTGGCTCCCTTCGATTGAAAGCTGGCCTATGACTATTGTCCCCGCATTCACAAGATGA